GGTCATGGAAAACAGGAAATTGTCACCGAACCTTGGTTGGCAGGAGATGAGTCCCTTTCTGTCCCACCTGAGACTACAGAAATGAGCCCAGGACCATCGACAGTTAGGTTAGGAAAGCTTCCCCAGGGTTGGTTTGAGGCCCTCTCTCACCACCACGGGTGGGGTATGACTCAGGACCAGGTGACCCTGGCACCCCAATTCCCATTACGTAACGTTCATTCCTAGGCAAGTCCGGAAGAAAGGTGAGACTTGCCCTCCCAGTGCTGGCAGGGGAGTCAGTGATTCACTTTCAAACACTCTCTGCCTGAAGGCAAAGCTTTTTCCGTGCTGGATAATAGAATTCATTGGAGGCTGAATTTATGTGGAGGCTCAAAATGGATTTAGGGCTCTCTACGCTAGCCTTCCACAAAACTAGTGCTCAGAATTGAAGCTCTTATTCACACCAGTCCTGATCGAAACCATGCAGTATCGCCTGTTCTGTGTACAGGTTCCACCTGAGAACAATGAAGTGTGCTGGAATCCTCATTCTGACCAGTGTTACCCACACAGTTAAATGCCTCTGGAAAGCCAGTAAAACACAGGTAAACATCTTCCTGGTATTCTCTGCTTTCAGCCAAGAGCCAGCTGATGTCAGCAGTGAGGTCCTTCGTTCCAAGCCCTCTTCTAACGCTGGCTTGAATTCTGTCAGTTTCCTCATAAGGCATGACTACCTGCATGTGATATGAGAGATACTGTTCGGTAATTTCTGCCTTCTGTTGAAATAGGCACAAACACAGATCTTGTCCAGTCAGGTGGCCAGGTGGCTGTTGTACAAACTTCCGGCATAGATTAAGGGGCTCTTCCAGTCCTGCGTCAGCTTGTTGGAACATCTCACTTTCTGGGTTCTCTGCCATGACCTCTACCACCTCTCACTGTTGGTGACATCACAGTCCTGTGTCCCGGATAGTAACATTCGCCGCAGGGATCTCTAAACTTAAAGATGGCTCCACTCTCCTTCTATCTGAACGGTACTGAGTGTCCTTTCTGCTCTGGAATTGCTATTATTTACTTATTTATTTTAATCATTTTATTGGGGGCTCGTACAACTCTTATCACAATCCTTACATCAATTGAATCAGGCATGTTTGTACATATGTTGCCCTCATTCTTTTCTAGACATTTGCTCTCTATTGAGCCCTTGGTGTCCGCTCCTCTTTTTGTCCCTCCTCCCTCCCCCTCAGAATTGCTCATCTTAAACCCAGTGGGATGGCAGAACTGACAATCCCCATGGTAGGGTCTTACATGCCTTATTTGCACGGCCCCACCCCACATGGTATATTTTATTTTACTTTATTGGCAAACTATTCAAACCCCCGAGGGGGCTGCACATGCCTCCTATTTACATAGTCCCTCCCCCGTCCTTCTGTAGGAACCACAGAGACTGTCTGAAAGAGCTGTACCCGCTCTGATGCCTGCTGCACCAGGGACTCCTGGACTGTTGCAGCCCTGGGGCTGGAGTGTGTTCCTCTTTGTCCTTTAGGAATGCTGAGTGTGTGCCGCCTCTCCGGTTTTCACGCTTCATTATAATACTTTGTCTTTTCTAATTTTCCTTGAAATGTTGAACTTTTTGACTTCCCCGCCTGCCCTTCACTTAAGCTCTAGATTCAGGTTCTTTCATGACATCCATTTTGCCCCCTTTCTAATGACCTTGTTGATCTATACTGCCCTTGGTGTCCTTCCACAGCCTGACTGGTCGCTGCTCATTCATGTTCAGTGCGTCCATGTATTGTCGGGATGGTCTCTAACCTAAGGTGGCATTGACCCAGAGTTGTATTTTGCCTCTCATGGACTTTTCTTCCACTTACATGTATGAATAAGTAATCAGTGGTCTGCCCCACGCTCAGCCCTGTCCTGAATGATGATACTGAGCGTCCCCATCAGTCTTTCCGCAGATGTAGTTCATTTGACGCCAGCAGATTCCCTCTGGCAAGGGGCACGTGTGCAATCAGTGTTGGCGTTGTTGAAAACCGTTATTTGCAATGAATAAGTCAGTAGTCTTGCAAGATTCTATTGTGCTGTCTCCCACATCCTTTTACCACCAGGGCTATATTTTTCAACTACCCATCCTTTGTTCCCACCTTTCAAACTCTGAACACTAGTAATTATCAATACCATCTGATTACACTTGATCGATTTTAGATCTCTGAAGTTGCTAGAAATCTTCCATTTCTTTCCCTATGGCTTTGTGGATGCTGTGTGAACTTGAATAATAGTAAGATCTCAGACGCACTGGTCTTCCTTGTACTCATGGATGAGTGCCTGTTAACTGTCCTGGGCAGCATTGTGCTTCAGGATAGATCGTGAAGTGTTCTTTTTGATAATGAATGTGGTTTCACGCTCTCCAATTTATTATTGTCAGCACAGTAGACCATGTGAAGGACCCTCGGTGGCACAGTGTTACGCGTTGCGCTGTGATCTGCATGGTTGGCAGTTCAAATCCAGCAGCTGTGGGAGAAAGACTGAGCTTTCTATTTCCATCAAAGTTGCAGTCTCAGAAACCCAAAAGGTTTGAGTCAGCATTGACTTGATGGCAGTGAGTTTAGTTGTTTTTTTGTTTGTTTGTTTTTAGAAACCATGTGATTGATAATCTGATCCATATTGACCAATGCCAGTCCATCACAGTGCACTAATGCCTAGGACATTTGTGCTTGATGTCATTTGGAGCCCTACCAATGAAAGTAAATGAAAGTCCCCCAACTATTGCTCCATCCACATCCTTGAGGCCGATTCTACTTTGAGGAGCCAGCTGTTTCCCAGGCGTACTGGGGTCCCTTCTGACCTGAGGGCATCATCGTCTGGCGCTGTACCAGACAGTGTGATAAGATGTCCCCTGTCTAGTTTTTTAAAGTAGATAGCTGCATCCAACCTACCAGCCTATCTTGGTCAGGAGTCTCCGCTGAGACTTTGCACCAGCAGGTAACAGCCCTGCTGGCATTTGAAAGACTGGAGGCACCACGTCTAGCCCCACAGTACCATGCAAGCCACCGGGGTATGACAGACTGATAGACAAGATGCCAGGCCAGACAACCCTCTGGGGCTGTTCTACGTAGACCAGCCAGGAGGTGGGTGGCATGGTGGGTGTCACATAGCAGGAGTGAGGATGGCATGGACCCACTGAGCAGTGTCTCCGGCTGTGGCCCGCAGGGCCGCTGTGAGTGGGAACGGGACCCCAGCAGGGAGGAGCAGTCCTGGTGCTGTGGTTAGATGTGAGGGCGCCCACTCTGAGCACTGTCCTTGCTCACTGCTGCTCTTCTCTGTCAGCCCTCCGGGCCAGGCCGGGGCCATCACTGTCCCTCCCCCTCCATGGGTTTCCTGGGACTGTCACCTTTACAGAGCGGTCCCCGGGTCTGTGCCCCACAGAGCTCCTGGTGGGTTCAAACCACAAACCTTCTGGTACGCAGATGAGTGCTTAACCAGTACGCCACCACGGCCCCTCAGAAATACTTCAGAGGGTGCGAAGGAGACTGAAGTGGTCATTTGGCCCGTCCTGAGGGGCTCGCTGCACTTCACGGCAGGGAGCTGATCTCCGGGGAAATCATCATGGACACGCTGGCCTCTGAGTCTGGATGAGAGGTCAAACTTATGTTCCAGTGTGCACCGACGTGTGTATACTCACTGCCTTCGAGTCAATGTTGACTGATAGCGACCTCCCGTGGGTTTCCCAGACTGTCCCTGTTTACAGGACTAGAAAGCCCAGTCTTCCTCCCAAGGAGCTGCTGGTTGTTTTGAACTGGGGACCATGTGGATCTCAGACCAAGGCGTAACCACTACCCCACCAGGGCTCCATGCCTCTAGCATATTCAGGAGCCTCGATGGGTGTCATGGTTACAAGTTGGGCTATGACCCACAAGGTCAGCAGTTCAAAGCCCAGCAGCTCCTCGGGAGAAAGTCAAGGTTTTCTACTCCTACGAAGTGTTAAAAAAACAAACAAACAAATTCACTTCCATCTCGTCACTGCTGATGCACAGCCACCCCATGTAGGTTTCCTAGACTAACTGTTTACAGGAGTAGAAAGCCCAGTCTTTCTCCCAAGGAGCTGCTGGTGATCTTGAACTGCTGACCATTCAGATCGAAGCCCAACACGCAACCACTATACAGACTTGGAAATTCACCTGGGCAGTTCTACACCCTCCCCTGCAGGGGTGGCTATGCATCAGCATCGACTCATTGGCACTGAGTGCTGGCAGGTTCGGGTCCTGTTCTGTGAAAGCAGCCCTGTGTCTCCGTGGGCTTCGTGGCCCAGCGTCTGGTGCCACACCAGCTCATTGGACAGAGAATCTGAGAGTCCTCGGGAGCATCGGTGCACAGTGGTCAAGTGCTCAGCTGCTCCCGATAGGTGAGTTGTTCCAACCCGCCCAGGGCCTCCCAGGTAGAGAAGGTGGCTGTCTGCGTCCACAGAGGCCACAGCCAAGAAAATCCCAAGGGGTAGTTCTGCTCTGTCAGTTGAGAGGTCACTCTGAGTCCGATGCAATTCAACAAGAACAGTAAGTGTGAGTTTGCCAGTGGCCCGCCGAGTAGGAGTTAACTGTAAAGACGAACTGAGGCACAGGGCGAGTGAGAGGTAAACTGAGGCACGGGGAGACAAAGAGAGTTGACAGGACAAAGGGAGAGCAAAACAGAAATAGCTTTATTAAGGGAGAGCCCCGTGGTCTAGCAAGTAGTCTAGGGGAATCGTCGGCTTTGTCCAGGGTCTGGGGTTTTTAAAGGAAAGCAGGGAGAGGGAGGTCCGTGCTGCAGCAGCAAGGTTTATGGGCCAGGATGTCATGTATCAGCTCTGGCAGGCAGGCTCTCCAGTTATCGGGAGTCAGGCATCCCTGGTGCCATTTCTCGGTCTCCTCATTCTCGGCGGCAACTTGCTAACCTCCAGGGATGCGCAGGAAAGCAGGGCCCTGGCCTGCTTTAGCTTAGCCCAATCAATAACGAACAGTGTTTCCATCTTCCCTGTCCACAGGGAGGGAGAGGGATGTCTCAGGAAGGCGATTACGGGAGGTGGACGATATCCAGCAGTGATGACAGTGGGGACGAGAAGCCCACGCTGGACAAGCCACTCGCCTCTTCCCCACCCCCCACCGGGCACGGCACAGCCAGTGAGCCCCGATACCACTGCTCAGAGGCACGGCGCGCCGCCCACAGGCGGAAGGTGTCCCCCGTGAGATTCAGCAGCACGGAGCCTCCTTCTGCAGCAACACCTCCCAAACGGCAGAAGAGCAGCTCCCAGGGAGACCTGGGCTGGTGTCTCTCCAGTAGCGATGATGAGCCACAGCCAGAGACACAGCAGAAGCCGGCTGGGAGTGCGGGCATCAAAAAGGAGAGAAGCCCCTCACCTCCCCAAGGCCACGCAGCAGAAAGGACCGGCGACCACAGCCATCCCGCCAGGCACAGGCTCAAAGAAGAGGAAGCCGAGGAGGAGACATCAGGCACAGGCCAGGACATCTGGGACATGTTGGAGAAGGGGGACCCCTTCCGGTTTTACCTCACCAGAGTCTCAGGAGTTAAGCCCAAGTACAACTCCGGGGCCCTGCACATCAAGGGTGAGTATGGCTGCTGGCTTGGCCAGACTGACCCCAGGGTGTGCTCCCAGCCAGGTGGGGGCAACTAGAGTGACCCTGAGACCCCCTCTTTGTACTCTTAGTCCTCTCATGGGGAAAAGAGAGAGAAAGCCCATTTTGACCAGTTAATGCTGTCCTTTGACACTGAAGGGTTTCCTGCAGGCCACCCACCCTGTCCTACTTGTGGCAAGGTGACAGCATGTCCAAGAGCACACACTGGGCAGCTGTGGGGCTCTGTGGTCCGCGGAGCCTCCCCACCACCTGGAGACCTACAGAAATACAGATTCCCAGGCCCCCCCACAGACACACACACACACACACCACTGAATCATAAGTCCGGGGATAAGTCTGACGCCCTAGGTCTTAACTTTATCCGGTATTTTGTAAAAGAACATGTAATCACTATTAAATAGCACAGGGACATTTTCTTTCTGGAATTTTAGAAAACAGTACTATTCTCTTAAGCCACACTGTAATTGTCGGTGGCCGTTCAGTAAATTTATCGTGACAGTTACCAGGACAGGGTTTTTAATCTCGGTGCAAATTGAATTTTATACATTTTGTCTTCTCAGATATTCTGTCTCCCCTCTTTGGGACACTTGTCTCTTCGGCTCAGGTGAGTTTACGATCGCCTCTTCTTGGGGTGGAATGGGATAAGCAAGAGAGCGTGCGCAGGGTCCCCTGCGCTGGTGCATAGGCGGAGGTTGGCACCTAGCACCACCATTGTAGGTCCATGGCCCTTGATGCAGTGTGGGGGCATGGCCAGCAGAGCTTGGGACGCTAGCTTGAATCCCAGGGTCAGCCGAGTTGGGGAAATGCAGCTAGAGTTTTCCTTTGGGGACATGGACCATCTCTTGGGACCCGGGGATGGTGACTAGACGGCGAAAGGTCATGTCCGTGCTCGGGAAAATAAGTATGATGTTTCCTGCACCAACCAAAAAGGAAGTTGTGAGTAAAGTTTGTGAATCTTCTGCCTGTGTGGTTGCTCCCATCTGACAGAGCTGGCCCCTGCTTGTTGATAAATCCCCGCCATGCTCCAAGCTCACACAAAAAGCAGTCCAGGAGAAAAGGGCACAGCCCCAGAGAATTCAGAGCTGTCCGTGACCTTGAAGATCCGCTTGACTGTGGGTGGTCTCCAGAGAAAGGGAGGGTGACCCCACTTGTGCTGGCCTAGCTAGATGGAGTTACTGTGCCCCGGAGAAGGATGAACCACTGCCCAGGCGTGGGGAGGTGCCTCCATGGGCCAGATCAGTGTGAGCTGTGGTCAGCAGGTGGTTTTCATAAGCCCAGTGAAAGTTCGGTCCCAGAGGTCTCTGTGCAAAGCTGGCCAGGGAGGCCGAAATGAAACAGGTGTTTCTAAAAGTCCAAGGATCTTTGTGGATCTGTCTTCTTATGATCACTCTACTTGCTGTCACGGGCTTGATGCTGACTCACAGCGACCCTCCAGGACAGGGTAGAGCCGCCCCTGTGAGTTTCCGAGACTGTAACTCTTTACGGGCATAGAAAGTTTGTGGCAAGAGAAGAAGGCTACATTCCTCAGTTCCCATTTTACCCTTACTCAGAGGCTGTTAGAGGACACATTTTACGAGGGCACTTGCTACCAGAGCCTGCCCACATGGTAACTTTTGAGCCCGTTTTCTCAAGCTTCTGTTTCTTTTAGTTCCTTTGACCACATAGCCCCTTCAAGATACTTTCTAGCCACACAGCACCCAGGGCTGTAAAGTGAACTCTGACACTCACAGGGATGCTCTTCCCAGAACAAGCAACCATTTCAGACCAAAAGGGCAGCATTCGCCCCCAAACCCCTTTGAAACCAGACAGGGGCAGAAGGAGAAATGGATGCAGGGCCCCCGGGGGAGTAGGAAGGGGACTTTAACCCTGAGGGCACCGCACGCGGCGGGCACAATGTTGAATGTACTCTGGGAACCTCCACTCAAACCACGGGTTTCTTAAAAGAGGGCGTATTTCAAGCCTGATCTGAGGGATGCAGCTGTCTAAGTCGTTTCCAAGGAAGATAAGATATGGCTTGTACTCCCTTAAAGAAGTAGTCTTGGAAACCACAGGGGCAGCAGGTCCCTGTGGGTCGGGATTACCTCTGTGGCAGTGAATGTGGTGGTTTTTGTGGTTGTTAGAGCTAAGTTTCTGAGCAATACACGTTCTTCTGGCCGCTTGTCTGGACGCCCGGTGATGTAGTCCTTTCTCTCCCCCATCTAGTTTAACTACTGCTTCGACGTGGACTGGCTGGTGAAGCAGTACCCTGCAGAGTTCAGGTGAGTGCCTCAGATGGGTCAGGAGCCTCCCAGGGCCTTTATGACGCAAGGTCTATGCCGCCCATCCATCTTTTTTGAATCTGCCTTTTGAATCCAATGAACTCAAGCAAACTTGCAGGACCTAAGGGAGGAACAGCCATCTCTGATCTCTCCTCCTTCGCCTCGCTCCTTTCTGTCAACGTCAGCATTTCCCACTGAGGTCTGCCAGAGAGTAAGTGAGGGTAACCCTAACCTAGGAAGAGACCTTCCTGTCCAGTTCTAGTCTGCAGAGAAGCACCATCACCCGGTGCCTCCGGGCCCCTAGTGGGTCGCAGTGTGGTCAGCATGCCAAGCTTGACTTGGCGGAACAGTACTGCCCATGTGTTCACTCTTTTTATTTATGTGTTTGTTTGTTTTAAAGGAAAGGGAACCTCGTTAGCTTTTTTTAAATCCTTTTATTGGGGGCTCGTACATCTCTTATCACAATCCATCCTTCCATCCATTGTGTCAAGCACATTTGTACATGTGTTGTCATCTTCATTCTCAAAACATTT